TAGGACATGGGATGAAATTCAGGACCTATTCAAGTTAAAAACAAAACTGCTGCACTTTAGAAGGGTGGTAGTTTACTTGTAGACTCTATAGTTTAGAGTCTACAAGCAGATACTGGACTCTGAAAGGTTTAATTGAAACTTTAGAGAAGAATCAGACTGTATCAGGGTAGAAGCCTTTCTCTGATTTTAGGAATCACTTGACCGGGTTGAAGCAATGTGTTGCAGTACAATGCATCTCCAGAAACATCAGCGAGTAATATTTCTTTAAACAATTAATGAGAAATATTTAAAAAGCCACAACAAAAACAAACAAACAACAATTAAACTTGCATGGACACGGGACAAACAACAAAAATAAAAGTAACACAAAGTAAACCAATTTGTTCTTAAGGGAATCAGAAATCAGGTTCTCATCTACAGGCACTCATAACAAAAAACAAAGCACACTGACAGTGCCCTTTTAAGTGTACAAGCTTTCTATACTGAAGAATATAGTCTGGTTGAAATTAGTATAAATCTCACAGTGTATTAAAGCATCAGAAGATGAGGGTAGCTATGGTAATTCTAGCACTTTATTAAACACCAGACAAATTGAAGAGCACATTTCCTGCTTTTTGAAAGAAATGAATGATATCTTCTGATTGGGGAATGCTAAGGGCAAAGGAAGCTGGCTGAAAAGGCTTAAAAACAGTACTGCAGTACATTTATCAGGACATTTAGTGTGGCTTTTCATGGGAAAATGGTGGAAGGAGAAGGGGGGAGTGATTTTTATTGCTAAAATTAATTTTATTGCAGTGCTAACTAACCCTCTTCCCCCCTGGAATCATACACAAATAAAGAAAAATGACAGGGAATGCTATTTCTTTTGTGCTTTTTCAGTACTCGCTCGTGTTTTCAACAGCACAGGGCTAGACCTGAGCTGTGCACTGCACCAGTCTTCTGCCCAACAAACTACAGCACGGAAAACAGATATATAAAGAACGAACAATCTGATTAAGAAAAGTACATTTATATTTTGACTGGGTTTTATTTTTAACATAAAACATCTTGAAAAAAGTTTTATGATTTAGCATTTATGAATGACTAGATTTTAAGAGAATTGTAATATTTTTTTAGGGTATTTCAGCTCTATGAGTTATTTCTTGTAGATTCAGATAATGACATTATAAATCTTTCTGTGGAGGCAATTACTAAGGCAGAAATGGCCTATTCCCCATTGGCTTTTAGGCTCAGCTTACTGACATATTACAAGCAGGCTTACCATGGTCATTAAAAACTGATCTGGGATTTATTGTACCTCTTTAAACTCTCAGTACTTTGAAAAGTATTGAACAGAAAGGAATACAAGGTGAAGTTACAAAGAGATTCAACGAAGCAATCAGGGGAAAAATAGGCTTAATTTATCCCAGTAAGGCCCACCAGAAGCGCCACAAAAATATTTGAAATTGAGCTTTGAGTCCTTAATAGAGATCACTCACAATAGCTATTAATCATATCAAATGGATACACTTCTAAACAGAGGGTTTGGGAACATAAAGGACATCAACATGAGATTACAGGGCAGAAAACAAAGCCAAGATTTTGACTGCCAATAATGACAAAATAGCTGCCCAATGCAATACACAAGAATGAAAAAATTCAGCTACAGCAACTTTTGTTGCCTAGATCCCAGTCACCTGCAGTGCAAGCAGGAATTTTATCTATGCCTTATGTTAACATCGGACCTCAGATCATCACATCGTGCTCACATTTCAGGGCAATCTCCGGTGGCCAGCAGCAGGGCAGGCATTTAAACAAATGCCTGAGAGCACAAATGCGCCATCATCTTGTGCAAAGGGATCTAAACGAAGGCCAGAATGTGAGAAACACTAACAATCACTGGATTTGACCAGGACTGGCGTGCTCATTAACAGTCAAAGGTCAGTGATAAAATTTGTTTCATCATCTGTCAGTTAACCTTCAGTTCCAGGTTGCCAATGACAGAAACCGCTTACAGACCTCCTTCATCTGGGACATACCCAAGAGGCTTGGAGCACTTGGGAGATTGTCTGGTGCAGTGCATACTTCTAATTTCTTGGAGCTTTTGTCCCAGGTTTAAAGCTGCCGTTGCAGGAATGAATTGCTGCTTGGGGAGGGTGGTGGGGAGGTACTTCGTGGCTCTTTTATTCTATTATGGTCATCACTGAGAATCCCATTTGTTTTAGGAGAAAAAACCACTGGGGATGACTGGTGTCTCAGTGTGCTATATGGCTTTACAAAATAAAACCATTATTTGTATGTTGCTGTAAGGAGATGATCAAGCCCTCAATTCCATCAACAATTCTGTTACCAGACCACAACTGCCTGAAAAATGTCTTTTTTTTTTTTTTGAGAGAGATTCATTTTTGGTTTTAATTCTCAAAAAATAAGTGTTAATTTAGATATCTTTCTAGAAAACTATAAATGGACGTCAGATTTTCAATAGCAAAAGGTTTGGTACATTTTGAAAACCATACTACAGATATATGAAGGCTGTTGATCTGGCTTGTAAGTCAGAATGCTGTACAATACATTAGGTTGGTCAACATTCATTTTAAAGAATATTTTAATATAATATTAATTTCAAGCCTGAAACCAACTTGTTACAGGTAGTCTAAAAACACAGCCTTCTCGTTAAGTTTGCATTTTCCAGAGAGATTTGTCACTCTAAAATTCTCTTTACTTTTCACCAGGAATAAACTGAACTGTATTTGAAAATAATGGCTTTAATTATAATTGGCATATCTGAGCCTACAGCTAGTGCCAGTCACTTTAGTAAGTGACATTACTTACGACACTGGCAAGATCAGAGTCTTTTATCACTTTTTTTTTTTTTTTTTTAATTATTAATAGTAGACCAATTTCCAACCTTCTCTAATATCTGATTATCTCTGGATAACTAGAGATGGGTAAAGATAGAGGCTAATGTTCAGAACTGCCCCCCCACTAGTAATCCCTAAAAATCCACGCTATTCAGAGTACAGTCTTCTCAAGATGAACAGAAATTAAAAGATTTACATCCACTTTGACCAAAGTGGCTGTCATATGATTTCTGTATATAAATCAGGGATGAGAAACCCACACACCAGAACTAGGCACAGCCCATGACCTTAACTCATATTTTTGGCGCATGTTAGCATAAAAACCACCAAAAGTGCCTGACGGAGCTATTCATCACTGTTAAAGTTATGAAGAAATATTTGCTAGAAGTGGCATAGTACCACACCAGAGCCCAAAGGGTGAGAGATAAAGGTTAGCTAGAGAAAGGAGGCGGCTAGTTGAGGCTGGGTAGCTCTGCGCTTGATGCAACACCTAAAGGATGGTCAGATGAGGGGTGTAGCATTGCATTATTCTGTCCCTTCTCTTCCTCCTCATGTATTTGCTCTGCTAGGCAGCCCAACTTAGGCTCGTGTTCAGTGCAGAACTAGCAAAACTAATAGTTAATCATTAAGAATAGAAACAATGGATGTTTGTTCTTAGCTAAGTAAACTCAGTAAACTCACAGCTTCCACTACTGGCAAGTGGAGGCAGGTAGACCTGACTGCAGAGCATGGCGCCATACATGTAGGATCTGCCTCCACATATGCAGAATTTGTCTAAAATACTATTTCCATTAAGACAAAGCTTATTCTGACTCGCTCTTCCTTCTTGGAATGTACACAGCATTGATTTACACTTTAGTAGTAATAACTTCAGCTATTAGAGTGCTCTTAGTATCCTTTTTAAATTGGCTTCAAGCATTTGGGGAGTCATTGTCAGGCCATCTAGAATGTAGATAAAGGGATCCTATGGCAGAGTAATATTCTGTATAAACTCCAGTCGAGGGACGATGATATATTTCCCATAACTCTTGCATTGCGTGCATTCCGATAACATGTGGACAAAGTGTTCCAGAATATATATTACATCACCAGCCTCCTTATCATTATTCAGAAACATCAGCAGAGTGAATCCTGCTCAGAGTCCAGGAGATCTGCAATGTAATTTTGCTTTTAGAGAAGACCTTAATCACCCAATGATTATTTTGACTGTTAGTACCAATGTTATCTCAGGCATAGCTTGACATTTGAGTGTTTGCATCTGAATCCCTGAGTTCTTTCTTTCAGCATCCTTAGCTAGGTAACATTATGTTGAAGAATTATTTTTAATGTATTTTCCATAAAAAAAAAAATCTAGAAGCATCAACTATACTATATCAGCAGAGTCACTACTTTAAGACAGACTTTACTGACATGCCCAATTCCTGATATTCCAGAAATGAGTGAATAGCCTTCTAACATGCTTAATTCTGTAAGCAAAACCATGTAAGAATTAACCTTTTCATATCTGTTGAAATTCTCTGGTTAATTTCAAAATTGACTTAAATTTAATGGTGTAACATCAGCTGCAAAATACAAGACCCCACTCCATTCTCTATCTTTTAAATTCTAGAAGGGCTAAAATTCTGTCTTGTTTCCTTTAGCTCCTAATGAATATCATAAGTATTTCTTCTTAATTTCAGGGAATCATTTTGCATATTATACAAGATTATTTCATGCAAATAGCTGAAGTTTGTCAGACTAGTAGAAAGAAAAAGGATAGGCCATTGAAGATGTAAACTTAAGAATGCTAATTTGTATTTTTATGTGATAAACCTAAGGAAAACTATCAAAGATAAATAAGATGAAGTTTTGTGAATGTTGATTGCTCGATATAAAATGTGTTCTTATTTTCTTTTCCCCCTCTTGGGCAAACAATTATACAGAGACAAAATAATAGCAGACAAAATTTTAAGAAAGATAGAAGTCAAGAGTAACATAATGATACTGTAGGTCAAATTTGTGCCTGTAAATATATTACAAGAATGAGGTTGAGACTACTGCAACTAGCAACAAAGAAATATACAAATGTACACACCTGCATTTTACCTTTGCATATGCATTGTTAATTTTTCCTAATCATTTTTACCTATTTCCCAAATGTTTCACCATGAGATGTCCTACCTGACAGCTGAGTTAGAAGTGTAACTGCTGCACATGCAGACAGAAGTGACTTCTGTGGCAACACAGATTCATAGACAGTGTCCAAAGCTTTGGCTCTTCTCTGCTTACAACACATGGTGAACCTACAGGAACAAGGAATAGCGCTGCTCAGAGCTCAATACAAGTAACACCTCTGCCAGCCCTGCTCACACAGAACCAATTTGTGGAGTATATTGTCAGAAGGGATGGAAAAAAATCCCTCCAAACATGAACAACACTTTTATGTTGTTAGGTGGATTGCAACACGCAAGTTAGAAGAGTTAACTGGGCAGTTTCAGAAGTAAAATCCAGAAGATAGACTCCCTCAAGACAAATCAGAGAAAGAAAGTAGAGAAAGAAAGAATCATAATTTATGTAGTCTTTTACTTTGTCTACAAGCATGAAAGCCAGCAATACATCGTACTATGGTAAGGAGTTTTGTTCCAAAGAAAAATCCTTTTTGGTTCGGAGAAATACAGTTGTTATAGAATTTGTCAGAACATCCATGAAGGACATATGTAATCTCAAAAATATCCCTAACGTGGATAAGGTAGTTTCATAAACAACCATGAGCCTGCCCACCTAGGTGGGGGCAGCACTGAGAGGGAAAGGCACGTTTTTGAGACACAATGAGACTAAGATATTCCACTGCCTTCCTTCAAAGTCATTATGATAAAAGGCAGTCAGCTGATAAAAGTTTAGCTTGAAAAATTTCCACAATAGTTTGATAGTGCATGCATGCAAACATTTCCACAACTGTGAAAAATAATGAATAATTTGGGGCTTAGGAAGTTTATTTTGGAATACTTATCAAAGTAGACCTTGTTTTCTCAGAAGTGCACATGGAATAGAGTGAACTGAAGCTTCTGTAAGGTTCTTATTGTAAACCATATAATCTTGCTGATCTTGATGTCATACCAAAAGAGTTCAGGTACTTAAGGAGACTCAACGATTCCTGCTAATCTAATCTCTGGGGCATGTTACAACTTTCAAGTGTCAACTGATACCTTCTGCAAGCGAACTAGATGACCTCTAGAAGTCCATTCCAAACTAAATTATTCTATGATTCCACAAGCATTTTGAATCATTTTTTTCTGTGCTGTATCACTAGTGTTGAGAATGCTGTTTAGCATGCTTAAAAATGAACCACGCAGCAACCAAGATGTAGTTAGGAGAATGCAATTTAAAACCCATTTTCTTCACAGATAATGCAATATGTGGTCTTCCCAGGAGTAACTCTCATGACCTATTCCAGTCACAATCCTTATTTATAGGTGGTGATGGAATGAATGAAACCTGCTGCTCCATAGTGAGAAATTTTTGTGATGCAATAACTGAAGCGACCATCACAGAAAATTAGGTCCCTGTATGATTGTGCATGAAAACAACTTAAGGATTCTCTCTGTATTGATTTACAGTAGAGAAATATTTCTCCCTGCTACACAGAAGGCCCAAATTGAATCTTTGATGGAGCAGCTGTAATTTTAAAAGAGCACCATATGTCACCCCACTACATGACAAGAGGTAAGGTGGGGAAAGGAGCAACTCTTCAGAACATGCCCTTTTCCTGCTGATTGGCACAAGAGCTCCTGAATGAAATTCACATTCTTCCAACCCTCATACCTGACTCCAATGACAGTTTAAACTATAAACTCAGGGGAAATAACAGAAACAGCACATTGTGAATAAAGATACTCAACCTCCAGCAGAAAGTGTTTTGGGGTCTTCTCAAGGTAGTGGTTGTAGACAGATCAGTGTTTAACTGTCACAGGTGTAATGATCCTCCCTACAATATCAAACTAGAAAGATCAGGGGCACAAATTTTTTCATGAAAAAAAGGAAGAGTTCCCCTCCAAAGCTAATGAGATTTTAGGTCTCCTGGCAAGGTTTGAAGTTCATAAGAAAATCCAAGGTACAAACTGAGACACAAATGACAATTACAAAAAGAAAATCACACCATGACTAATTTAGCAAAAGGAAGTCCAAGTCGGATTGCTCCAATTTTTCAACTCACTTTATCTTCAAAAGAGAAGGAAGCCACTGGCAGATGTCCTCAGGATGGCCCGTTTGTTTAATCATAGACTGTTTTGGATTGGAGGGGACTTTAAAGATCACCTGGTTCCAGCTACCCTGCCTTTCATTTCACCAGATTGTTCAAAGTCCCATCCAATCTGGCCTTGAACACTCCCAGGGATGGGCATCCATAGCTTCTCACTATTTAATCCCACATTATTTAAAGGGCTAAAGCTCAGAAGTATTAATACTTTTTCTTGAGAAATATTGAAGAATGGAATACCAAAACATGGAACAAAAAGGAATGGGGAAAAAAGAATTTGCTAGGATACTTTTAAAAAGTTAATTTCTCGTAAAATTCTGGAACAGCACTGAAAGAATTATCTGCATTTTATGAAGGTAACAAGACAATGAGTTTGACAGTTTATTCTGAAGACTGTCTGTTGGATGTTAAACCAATTTATTTTTCTTCTACAGGGAGGGAGATTTTGTGGACAAAAAACAACTGATATCATTAACTTTTAAAGAAATTTCTGATTGCTATTTTACATCCTTGTGCTTAAGCTAAAGAAACATGGTTTGGTTAAAACAATGGTAGGGTGAGTACAAAAACAATTTTAAAACTCTACTCAAAGTATTTATCAAAAGGTCACTGTCAGAATGGAAAACTATACCAACAGAGGGGTCTGGGTTTTGTACCATTCAGTATTTTTATTAGTGACCTCATTGATGCTTATTGCATCTGCAGGCAGAACCAAGTTGCAAGTACATTAGAAGACAAGATTAGAATTGAAAATAATTACAACAAATCAGAGAAGTAGTCTGAAAAATAGGATGCTGTTCAACAGGGACTGGTGCATCAAATTTTATGTAGGCAATCAACAATACTTGATGAAGGAATAGCTAAGTAACAACTCTATAGAATTCAGGGCTATATATTATATATTGTACTATATCTATCTAATATAGCGGATGACAAATAACTTCTATCAAAGTTGGATCTTAGATGTGAAAGGTGCAAGAACCAAACCAGAACTCACATGCAAATACTACAAGATTCTTAAAACAACCTTTCATATTCTGCTTAAAATACTTTCTAGATGAAGGCATTCAGTGTTTATTTTCAGAGGTGCAATGCTACTGGTGAAATAGCTCTACTACCAAAAGTGTTGGTTTCAAATTGCTGGTATGAAGTGTTGTTAGCAAGAATGTTAGCTGACTAAGTCCAGAATATTGTTTACTCTAGAAAGAGGATGACAATCAGATTTTGATTCACTTGAACAATAGTTTTGTGAGTATAAATTGTCTGATATTTCATTAAGCCAGTAAGCACAGAAAGAGAAAGGCAAACACCCTTTAAGCTGGTTATAAACAAAGGAAGTCAAGGTAAAAATTGGTTAACGTTAGCTTGGAATCAGATTCTTCACTCATCTATAAGAATATCTTGAATATTGTTATCTTTGCACATCTCAGACATCTAACATTCTATTTAGATACTGGTAGTATGGTCTGATTGAAATGAGAACAGAATTCAATGTTAACAGCATACTGTTACTGGGAAAAGAAACCACCCCTTATACTGTGGTCATTATCTCAATAATAGAGAATCACAGAATGCTCAAGTTGGAAAAAGCTCATCTAGCTCCAGGTAGGTAGCTTAAAGCTCATCTAGTTCCAACCCCTGCCATGGACAGGAACACCTCCCATTAGATCAGGTTGCCCAGGGCCTCATCCAACCTGGCCTTGAACACCTCCAGAGATGGGGGCATCCGCAGCTTCTCTGGGAAACCTATTCCAGTGCCTCACCACCCTCTAAGTTACCTGTCTTTACATTATTATTATTATTTTTTTTCTTTTTTTAAATCTATCTTGACGCTGTCCCATACCACATTTCAAATAAGTAACTTGCTCCAAATTTCACCAAGATGCATGATAAATAATAGCACAAAAACTCATTTCACAGAATTTTCAGCAACACAGTTTTATAAAATGGCATTAACAATTTAAATTATGTAAAAACACTATCGTGGCCAAAACCACAGTAGTATGTAGGGCATAAGTAACAACCAGATAAGGCTGTTACATACAGCACTTTTCCTGACCCCAGTTCATTAGAGAAAAACCAATGATTTAAACTACCTAGCAAACCTCTTCCAGAGCTATAGTTTATAATCATAAATCAGGCATGTGACTACCTGGAGGCATCAGGGAGTTTGCTGCTACACTGTTACAGAGCTAGGAGGGAAGGAAAGTTCCTATTATTGTATCATGCAGTAGACATTGGTGCTTGAAATTTCCACTTACACTACATTAGCTTGAGGCAGTTCATTTGCTAAAATAAAAGAAACAAAGTGTAAAATATTCACTGACTTGCTCAACAAAGCAATCAACGAAAAGAAGAGAGAAAGAAGGAGAGAGTGTGATTTTTTTTCTGCTATCACACTGTTGATAAATACCATTAGTATTTTAAAATTATCTCACCCATTCAGTTTAAATTTAAAAGTATTAGTGGTATTATCAGTCTATCCATCTCCCTTTATTTTGTCTGTCTCCTGCTTCTATTTTGTGTGAAATTTCAAGAGATGAATCCCATTTTCTATTAATTCAATGGCTGTCATCTTGCATTGCATCATGTAGCCCAGATCACAACAATGAAATCTAAGGGTTTAAATTAATAATATTGCAACACATCACTTTGTAAAGCACTGTACGCATCTGTATCTAGCCAGCTCAGGTAACTTGCCTCCAGTCTGATGCTTTTCATTGGTAGCTAGGGGTGGAATTACACCTGTACAGTTGCAAACAACCTATAATTGGTAACCAAATACTTAGACTTCATGGTGGATAGCACTACTTTAATAGGGTGTTGAGATTTAACAAGGTGTTTTTGCTTAAAAATAAAATAGTTGGGAAAAGCTTCAGGGAATATGAAATCTCTGTTCTCTGAGTGGCATTTTCCACACCTACAAATATATGCTGACAGGTAACTGTATTGCATTACAATTGCCTTACATACAGTGTCAGCTAAAGCTACATGGTAAGTCAGCATCTTGGAGCACCTATGCATCATGATACAGCTGATAGATTTGGT